CCATGATCTTGCGGTTTTAATTCTTGCGTCAATTGAATTTTGTACGCGTGCAATTTCAAGTCTCGACGCATAATTGTCCATGTTGAGGTCTTTGGAAGGGCAAGTTCTTGTGCATGTCGCCGCAATGACTGATTCGGGTCTTGACGCACGCTCTCTCGCACAGCAGCAATATTCTCGATTGTTCTTACTGTTCGTTGCCGTACGGGTGTTGTTTGGTCTGCCACTGAGCCAGTTCTCTCAAATTTATTGAGCAGACGTCGAATAGTGGACTCAGCAGGACGGCCATGCGCACCATAAATTGGACGCAATGCGCGGACCGTTTCACGAACCGAACATCTGTTTTGATGATAAATTTTCACAATTTCCACGCGTTGTTGAATCGTGTACTGCTCCATGATTAAATGTCAAGACTAACTTAATAACCTCACAAAATTTGACAGCTGTATCCCCACCGGTTTGGGCGCGCGCGCCGTTCAAACATCGAGCGTCCCTATCTGAACACCCTTTAGTACAGAACATCCTTTCCTAAGCAAGATTGATAAAAAATAGGAAATGCTATATTTAGAAATACTCCGCGATAGATCTCTATATGATGTGTGTTAAATCTTGCTCTCGTACTGTTTTGAAGACCGCTTAATTATTTATAATCCTCAATCTTTCAAAGTACAATTCGTAAATTTAAGGTCACGGCAATATTTGTGACCAGGAATAGGTTTATAAAAAATTGCTGCAAAACTCAAAAACGAATACTCAAAGAAAGAATTTCTATTTTTGCGATAACTAGATCCCCTTGGCCAAATTCACAATAAATATTTTCCTTAGATAATGCAGGAGTTAATAGCTCACAAGATACAGCTAATGCTGTTTACTAATGACTGAGTCGGTGTATTATTTACAATCTAGATTGTCATAATAAATAGTAAAGGAACACGCAAAATCCTGATGATATTTATAAAGTACCACGCACATGATACATGATATTTCTGAGGCATATTAGATTATTTGAAAATTTTATGCCGTTTTTATTTTTTATCCCTGATTAATTCCAAAAAATCTCTATGACCCATCATCAGGCTGTTTAGCCACTAGAAGGCTAAGACTTGTTAAGTCTATGTAGATCCCACAATGCTTGTCTGCCATAATAGACCCATGAATTAAATATAGCTTATACCAAAGTTCTATAATAAAGAAAAACTTTAAGTTGCCGTTACTTAACTCCAGCGAAGATGAAACATGTCTATATTTACAAATTCCAGGTATCATCTTAATGTGATATTAGCCCTGTTCGTGCAGCTGTCGAAACGTGTCAGTGACTGTGTCCAAGATCACACTACACAAACTCGTTCACTCCGGATACCAGACACAATCACCGACAAGTCACCGACCACTGTACGAACAAAAATTGACGTGTCTCCATGGATTCTTATCAATTTTATGACCATATTATATTATAGAATGACTGCGGTTAAGGAAACAATTTCAAGAGCAATTTGAGCACAAACTGAATACACCTCTTCCGAAATATTGCCATATTCACGTGCGCCGATCAAGCGTATTTCTCGGGCGGAAAAGTGGCACTTTGCTCTCTTAAGAAACAAGTAACTATTACCGCCTTCAAGGGTTGCATGTGAGCTTCCAGGAAACGTCCTACCTACTAGAAAAATATATAGTCATATATTTCCATTTGCTAGTATACAAAGCAGTAATAATAAATAATTATTGTTATAATAAAATGCAAAAAACTTTCTTATCTCCTGTTATCATTAGGAATAGGAATATTTTTACACTCCACTGATTTCTGTACCAGTTACGAAGAAGACGGTCGCGTATAATCCAAGTGACCTATGGCATGGCATTTGTTGCCGCTTATCGTTTGTTTCCAAGTTATCGATGTGTTTTGTTAGATAAAACGAACGTTTCAATTTATTTTTCTTGTGTACGGATTCATTGATAATGATGATCACATTCAATATTTATCTTGGTGTGTACACACTACAGGAACATGACTAAGAACGTTAATCGGTGGGCGCTACAAGAAAAGAGGGACATTCCCCCTACGGAAAATGGTACCTAACATTTTTGTGGGAGACGTTATCCAAAGACCTTGATGACATTAAAATCATTAAGATTCGCTGTATACCATTTGTATTAGAGATAGACATGGGACTATGATTCATTTATGTGAATTAGTAGGGCAAATTCCCTGGATTCGGCAGATTCCTCTCCGTGTTGTGCGAAGAATGTACGTTGCCGACGACTGAGTGTGCTTGAAATCTTCGTATTTTCACTTAGTTTGCGGAAATGGAACAAATTTGCATCCCTAGGTTTTTGTCGAGGACACGGCACGGGCATTTTGTCGGTATTTTAACATTTTGTGGGTTTTATCTGATAAAACGTAGGTTTCTCTAACAGATGTCAACTTAGCACTAGTTGTTGTCCTGTCGGGGACATCTAATAGATATAGGTACTTCATTGGCAGTATATTCAGTAATAATTTTCTCACATAGCAGATAGCACCGATTTTTTATACACATGCAGGTCAAGACACGTAATCATCCAGATGCGATCTTGCCAGTCAACCAACTTTCTTTCTTTCACATTTTCTCAGACATAAACACTACTTGGCTTTCTGCAACCAACAATGCATGCTTGAGCGTGTCGTGTCATTGAGTCATTCCTCCACAGATGGACGCTTTTGACGATGCTCACAGCGGTCCTAGCGAGCAAACGCACACTAAGAACTCTAGTCTACAGGATGGCGATTTGTCAGTTTTTTTACGCTTTTTAGGCTTTTTGCATAATACCACTGCCGGACGGAGAACAAAAAAAGCACGAACCCATACAAGACATACGGTCACGTAAGCAATACCCAGTCTAACAATCACGAATTCTATATCCACCTTCCACTATCTGCTTTTTTGCTTTTGATGGGATTTTTTTTATGTTGTCTCATTTGTTAGGTTTCTTATCACGTTGACTGCCAACTACCAGACATCTCGTAGGTTTCTTACCTGCCCAGCACGGGTATTATGTAGAAAAGCTAAAAAACGTAAAAAACCTCTAAATCTCATCTTGCAGACTAGGTAGTTTTTAGGGTGCAAGTTCATCCCACGTTTGCCTCGTTATGATCGCAATGAGCTTCCATTTATGGAGGAATGACTACTCTACACGCATTGTTGGTTGCAGAAAGCAAGTATATGTTTTGTGAAGCCGAGTAGTCTGCAGTGTTTATCAGTGATATTTGTTATGTGAGAAAATTATCACTGAATATGCTGCCAATGAAGTATATCTATTTAGCTGTGCCCGACGGGTTATTTATAGGTTGTACTTTCTGGAGACAGGTTATGTTCAAACTTATAAATCACGGTTTTTTTTTCGTTTTCTATGTATTCAAAGCATTACGGAAAATCGCCACCGCGCCCGCGTTGCGTGCAATTAAGCCACACGCCTGACGTACCCAATCTTTGATTTGGTTCCTTACTATGCCTTTTAGTATCCTCGATGGGAAAATTGACACCTTATCTATGGCGATCGATAATATATATTATATCGCGAGTTTTATACTTTTGACATACAGGGTGATATACCTATAAGGAAAAGTTGTATTTTAGTAATAAGTCGCATAGTTTTCGAGACGTTTAAAATGCCTCCCAAAGGCCTGCGTTCATTTAAGCTTGTGTCATTTCTACAAATTAATATTGACTCTGTTGGACCAGATGTGTTCCATAATCAAATTACGGACAGATTTGAGTGGTGCAAGTTGGCAATTTAAAATTTTATTTATCATGTTATTCAAACTGGCAGCAGTACGATGATCTGAGTATTGGAATACGTACATTCTCACAATATTTGAGGTTGATTGACTCTAGAGTGAGCCACTCACCTCACAACATCCATATTAATTCTTAATTCAACTTGGTTTTAATCTGTGCCTCACCTCACTTGCGCTGTCGTACGTCTGAAGTTTGATGTGATGAAAAGGCATCCACGCAAAATACCTTCCGTTGTTGAATGTTTGTTTTACAACTAGTACATTATGTCAGAAACAATTAGATTTACAAATTTGAAAACAACAAATAGCTCAGCTCACATTCCTACACTAGAGGATTTCCAATCCAATTGAAGGCCGTAGGTGTGCGAAAATATTAATACTTACCGTAGCATAAAACATAGCCTCGAGTTCTATTTGAGATGCTGCAGCCTCAACTACATTATCCATGGGCGATGCTCGTTCGGAGGAAATCTTCCCGACTGATCGATGAGTCTTCTCTAACCGTTTCGCACCGATGGGCCGTTGGCGATCTTGCTCTGTTCTACCGCTATGTCAACAGGCTTAGCTCTTCAGAACTCTCCTCCATGATGCCGCCGCGCGATGAGCCTGTCAGACAAACCCTCCAGACTTCGGACCTCTATTCTAACCGTGTCAAGCTTCGTACATTAAGAGCTGGCGGGGGTGACCGCTCGTTTGTGTGAGATTACCTGAGGAGGTTTTTTCCAGTACTACTTATCTTGGGCGAGACAAAAATATGATCAATCTCCGTATAGCAGTCGCGGTGCCCCAATGCTTTGGCTTCTGCCTGATTCAGTTTAAAAAAGCACCATAATTGACAGATTGAGACAAAGTTGTTGTTTAAGCATCACCTTCCAAAATGAGTGTAATGTTAGTTTGACGATAAAACTTTCGGTACAATTTTTACTTACATCTCAACCAAGAATACCTGTTTTCTGTATGGTAGAGTATATTGATGCCAACATGAAGATAGCCAAAATAGAGGTGATTCATTATCTCGTGAAGAGTGACGTTTTTGCATGGGATGGGCAGGGTGGTTACATCTTTATATTCAAACTCTGACTATTTCTGAAAACATATCGCAGTAAATTACTGATCAGTTAAATTAGAATGTTGATTTCTGTAATTGCACTAAAAAGTTCTACTTAATAATATAACTGCCACGAGATAATCAAGGACACTATACTACGGAGACGTCATAGGGTTCAATTGTACTCAAACAGTTTAGCCTCCCGGGCTCATTTTAAAATTCATAACCAGTTCTTAACCATGACGTCATTGATATGAATAGAATACGTTGGGTTATGAATTGGCTGACCTTGAATTAGAACCATCCTCAAAAGAATTTGCTTAATGTAGTCAACTTAACGCTGAGAAGAATACGTCGTGTCAAGATATTTGCTGGTTGAGATATCAGTCAAAATTATGCTGAAGAGAAGTTAGACACATTTGAACAATGAATTTATTGAGGAGGAAGAGAAAGTGGATGGGCCTATATAGGCCAGGCGCTGGATGGAATTGAGTGGGCCAGATGTGAGTACCGCACTTAATGAGCATATCTCAAGGTCAAAGAATAATAATCTGAATCTTGCCAAGCCAAATTTTCGTTGAAATTGTTAATCCCCTCGTCTCTTAAATCAATAAAAGAACAAAGTTTCTTCGCTCCCACAAGTTTTTTCCATCTCTCGGATTACTCTGAACAAGAAATGAAGGGCGCAGGGGAAAAGATAAATGTCACAATGTTTTTTGTAGAACCGGCAACATATAGTCTATAGTCAGTACAATCTCTTGAGGTATCGGAAACACTCAAAAATAATGACAGTACGTAGTTATACCCAATTGGAAACTTGCTGTGCAATAAAAAAAATGAATGTCACAACCATAGTACGAAAAAAGATGAACGACCACTGATTAATACCGAAACTAGTAGACACTGCATCAATTTACCATAAACAAATCTGCGACGAAAGAAATAAACGTTAAGTAATTATTTTTAAGCAGTTTCCATTAATCTTGTTTTGTTTGTTATTCTTTTGGATAAAGTTTTTTTGGTGCATTGTTTTTTCCTGTCCCAATTCTGTGTTCCAGCTATTGAAGTTAGAAAATGTTAGAACATATTGTAAAACGTAAGATAGATATTTCGCTGGTTAATCAACCCTTAGATTTTGTTTAAAATCATGAGGAGAATCTCAGAATACAAAAATAAGAAGAATCTCCTTTTAAACAGAGTTTGGTTTGCTTTCACTTTTGGGCTGCCCTGTATATCTTAAATATTTTTTATTTATAATTTAACTTTTTTCAATTGCTTATGATAAGGAGTCTATGGTACTCTGTCAGATCTTTGACCCACCCTGTACAACGAATCTAGGAGTCTTCAAACTTTAAAATTCACTTTTCTCGAAACTTACTTTTGAGACATTCATCTTTTCCTTTCTCTAAACACTTTCCGAGCTATAAGCCATTTATTGTCTCTAAAACCCTAAAAATGCTTATACTCAATGATTGCAAGCTTGGTAAAAAATTATCACCTGTGAGGTTGCCACGTATATAAATTAAAGCCAAAACTTCCTCTTACAATACTCAGGAGTTTTTTTTAAGAATGAATTATTTTAAAGTGGTTCTTAAGCTGGCGTCCTTCTGATTTTCAGAGACTGTACAAATTGAAGCCCAAACGAATGTTTTGTCTACAGAAAAGTGTACCGACAATTAACCTTTTTTTAAAATGTAAATTTTGTTATCTCGGTATATTCATATGCTCCTAATCGCGGTAATTCTATGCACCTATCAGCCATATTTCACACATCATAGATTAAGCCGTACAATTGGTTAAAAAATTGGATGATAGAGAAATGTTTTTGATCCGCGTACTCCTGCTATCTAACATATATAAGCATCTTGCACGAAATGAAACATAACTCGGTGTAGCGATGGTGCGCAGATGTGGAAAGGGGCAATTTTGTCACATGGACAATAACTACCAGTTTGTCAGGGAAATAATGTCTATGAACTTATTATATGGGCCTGTTTGACTGACTTAACAAATTTAATTTCTCTGTTGTACATGTTTCTAACTGAATTTTTTCTCGGAGGATTTTAAGTGCACTGTAATCCTTCAAGAACTGATGATGGCGTTACGTACGAACTGCAGAGTCAACCCACTCGACGCCATTTCTTAGTTTTAAATGATAATAAATATTGTTTTTAACAAAAATGTTTGTTTTGCTGCTTCATTTAACAGCCTATTATCCCTTTAATAATAAGAAATATCTGTTAACTGAAATACCTTTTGGATCAGTCCATTTCCTTCATACTTAAGAGGGGGGAATGTACCAAAAAGTGGGCCAGCAATATCCGAATTATTGTTTTTTGAACTTTTTCTCATTTAATATTCCTTCATGAAGTGCAGTTCTCACATTCTGCAAGCTCGACTCCAGCTCAAAAATCGCTGCAAAATAAATTAATCTGGAAATGTTCTTCGGGATCTGGTAGGGGAAGGCATTAGCTTTAACTTAGATATGTGGCATCATCAAAAATAATGATTTTACAACATGTTTCACAATAAGGCGCTAGAGAAGTCGTCACGTATTTTATTTTTATTTAAAAAGCATTGTTAATAAAAGTGAAACCCGCTACGGCCTAACCAGTGCGTTATTGCTTTATTCTGAAACTTGTACAACAAATAGTACAGTTCGATCTACAACAAGTGAGACATCATGCTGTTAAGAAAGTTCATAATTTTGATTCTGATTTTTACGGTACGGTTAACTGTTGATCTGCCTTGTCTACCGATACTCTGTAGAAGTGGTTGGAAGTTGACCTTTGTGTTCAATCTGATAATAGTGGTTAGTGTTTAGTGCTTAGTGCAACTACATCAATGACTATCAAGAGGAGACCCCGCAACTAAAACAGGCCTTTATTTTCCAGATGAGCGGACTCCTGTGCCTCCTGTGGCTGTGCCTAAGCCTGAACCAGAGCACAGCAGCACTGGCACTTCCATACAACTTCAACTCCACAGAGTTAATGAAATGCTCTTATGGAGAAAGGGGATCTCTCACGGCCACCTGTGTCAACGCTAATGCCAGTTACTTTAAAATGACCCCGTACAGATTCGACCAGTTGGATGAGACCTTGGTCTGTTCATCTTGCAATCTCAAGACCTTAGAAAGTGGAACTTTCGATATATCCGGCAACCAAATCAAGAACCTGCAGTTGAGTTACAGTAAAATAGAGTTATTGAAGCAAAAAGCTTTTGTGGGGCTGATTTTTCTGAAGAATCTGAATATGTCGCACAACTCCATTACATCTGTGTACCCAGGTACCTTTACGGGTGTCAAGAAGATTGAATCAATCGATTTATCGTACAATAACATTACAGTTTTGTCCGACGACGGATTTTTGGAACTAATAAACTTGAAAGAACTCAACTTGGCATACAATAGCATCAAGACTATATCAAGCAAGGCTTTTAATGGCTTGGGGAACTTAGTGTTACTCAACCTTGAGAGAAACAATATAACAGAAGTTTCGGATGTGTTGTCCAAGCTCATTAACCTTCAAGTCTTAAATCTCAGGGACAATCAAATTCTTAAACTGCAAGGCTCGGAATTTACTAACTTGCTCTCCTTACTTCTACTGGACTTATCTTTCAACAAGCTCGATACTCCCGTTATTGAGTTTTATCCTAATAACTCTCTCAAATCCTTATACATAACAAATAATTACATACGAAGCCCGTCTCTTGGATTCCTCAACGGCCTCCACAACTTAGAAACCTTGGATCTAAGCTACAATACCATCGTTGAGATCCAAAAAGCGACTCTTCTAGGTCTATACCATCTACGATTCCTGAACATCAGTTACAACCGAATCACTACATTTCAGACAGGAGTGTTCACAGGTCTCCCTTACCTCGAGTTGCTGAACATGTCTCATAATGCAATAAGTTACGGAGAAATTACTGGAGTATTTTCCTTGCACAGCTTATTCGCACTAGATCTCTCGCACAATAAAATACCTCGCTTGGATTACGAAGCTTTGATAAGCAGGCTACCGAGATTGTCTTACCTCAGGCTAGAAGGAAACCCACTACCTTGTGACCTTGAAGAAGAAATGAACACATACTTTGAGGCTGATAACTTCAAGTTTGTTCTTCACGATCCATATAATAACACTAAGTCATGTGTCCTGGAACCTACGAAGCATTCAGAAAAGGTCATTAAAGAAACTGTTCCAGAGCTTGATGAAAATCGTAGTGCTGGGATGAGTGGTGGTGAAGTGGCAGCAGTTATATTGTTGTGTTTAGCATATCTTTGTTTGGGTTTGTTGTTCTACGTACAGTATCGTACGTTTCGAGAGAGTAGAAATCAAGGACCTCATAGAGCGACGTCATCGGTCAACCTTATTTCTGCTGAAGACGGAAGACCTGGAGATGAATATCTTAGAGAATAAGGACTTGTGTAGTGCGTAGTTTGAAACTTACAGTGGTTCTAGCTTGCTTCAAAAATACGCATCCGATTTAAGTATTTTTGTTAACTTTTAGAGATCAAATGTCACAAAAAGAAGTGACTTATTGACCAGTTGTTAACAATTTCATTTGTAGATACAACCTGCTGACTGATATTCCAAAGGGACGACTGTGATTCCAGGATATAGAATTTATCAATCATAATAACGATTGCGTGTGGAGAATGTAGAGCCTATTACAAGTTATTCCTCACACATTTATCTGCGTCCCAATTGGATTGAAAAATTTTTACGAGTCACCAATGGCAAAATTCAGTGTTCCCCAAAGATGGGCTATGATTCTTTGGAACATTCTAAGATTTTTGAAGTACCGCCTTGATTCGAAGATGCAGAGCGAATAAAAAATTCACAATGATTTTAACTTATATTTGCAAAAGCCACTTGCAAAGTAGCTTGATCTACAAAACTCTTCAAAACTATCTTCGAGTAACATATGAGGATCCTCAAGTCTGGCAAACCTTTCAATACGTCAGGGTCATTTCTTATTATTTAAAATTTAACGATTTGTCATAATCAATCACCATATCATCCTCTGGCATTATGTAAAATTGTAAGAATAACCTGGGGCGGTCGTATAGGAAGTAACTCGAACTATCCAATGCCCGACCCAAGTTTTTCTCTGCCTAATGTAACTCAACAGAACATACCTTGGTGTATTTAAAAGCATTTAACAGTTTACGATGAAGATATTGGAATCGTAAGCTCTAGTTGAATATAACTAAAGGTCTTAACATCCTTTATATATTAAGAAGTTTTACGGGATTTTTGTTGGTAAATTATATTACATTCGAAAATAAATAGTCTTTTTCTGTGTGTTTTAGTAATCGTTGAGTGTCCCAAAAATCTTAAAGTAGTCCAAAGAAGCGATCCTTGAATATTTTCCCAATGTTTGACATACAGTGTAGGCGAGAGTATTTACAATATGATAGTATCCTGTACAGGCTCAAATATTTCATGTAAAAAAGCTTGTATCTCAGAAATAATTGAATGGATTTACATCAGTAGGTTAATTAAAAAATTTTGTACAGGTGAACCTTCAACTACGCTGCTGCACTTTTTAAACAATTCATGTTTGTGAGCTTTATGGCTGTAATGTAATGACTAGACGATTGTAAATAACTTATTAATAAAATATACTGTTTTTACTCTTGTAATGCTTACTTAAACAGAACTGTGTAGTATGTGTAGGAAAATAAGGCTATATTGTGGAACATGGCGTTCCTTAATGATGTACTATAGTATTCACGATGTGATTCTTCAGTGCATTTCATGACGAAAAGATCATAAGGCGAGCGTTCAAGAGATTATTTATTATATCTAAAAATATTTGCCATTGCTGTGGGTAAATTAGATTTACTGGCCTCAAAATATAACGCGAAGAGTGAATCACAAAAATTGAATTCCACGTGAGACCGACATTTCGTTCTCTCCTTAGGATTAAATACCCCTGAAATGTTTCAGCATCAAGATCCTTTACCAATGAAACAATACATACTCTTATACAAACTGCATAAATATTCTATTATACTAATCTTTTCATTCAATTTGCGCCTACATTTTTGATTTTGAATTTTTAGTATGTGCCTCTCTCTCCCTTTCTCTCTCTCTTTCTCTCTATCTCTCACTCTAGATTTTGGGAGCTGTAAACTTTTATTAGTGCACTTCAAAAAAGGAACTAGCAAACCTTACACAGGGTGGTACTGCCTCTCTTTCAGTCATAGAATCATGTCGAAGCTGTAGTTGGGAACACGCAGTAATTTTTCAATCTGTGAAGCAGAAGAATGGAATATTAGTTACAATAAAGATCAGATAAAATGGTTTAATAACCAATTACTTTATTTATCGAACAAAGGAGGAGGCGGTTTGAGATATCAGCTGGAGACACAAATGAATACCGTTCAGCTTAAGTAAAATTTTCTAAGTAGGCTCTGCTATAAGAATAAGCAGTTAAGAGCACATGCAATATTTGCTCTTATGTGGATACCGGCTCCGCTGGCTCACTGATTTATATCTTTGCCCCAATAAGCCAGAGACCCTTGAACAACGATTGAGGGTAAATAGCTTTTATTTACGGATAACATTATCGATTCCTAGATCATAAAGTCATGACTTTGTCATAGCTTCACGTTTTGTCTAGTGAAAGTAATGCTTTCAGAGAATTCAATTTGAGGCCATAGGAATTTATAATATACTAGCTGACCCGACAAACGTTGTCCTGTCTTAGCTATGAACTGGAATAAATAGTGACTAATAAAATGGTAAATAAAATATAGGTAATTCTATAGCGAAGTGTTTGTACCGCCATGTGGCTAGAAAAATCCGTTGGCAGCACTGTCATTCCCCTGTCAACTTACCTTGAAAGTAGGCATACAAATTATGTGGAATGAATTTTGTTGCACCAAATAACGTCATTTGAAAGCAACTATTGTATTGCCGGATAAGAGTCAAAAAATGTATAGAATCAGTCCCATTTCTGGAAACCAACGAATACAATGACTCTGGTGGTGGTACCAATGGAGTTAATTTGATTTTTCGACTGACGCAACATAATCCACAGGCTTCATTTTTAAACCTGAAAGTCTTGCAATGTGGACCCACAACGTTCATTGGTCCAATAGCAACGATTTGTTGTGAATTTTAATCGATTGCAACGTCCTAATTGAATGCAGCTCGATTGGGATTAAATGCGAGGGTGAATTTCGGTCCATCAATCCCGTTCAGCTTCATTTCTCGCTTCTCGTTGCTCGTCAGTTTGACTTCTTCGTATATATCTTTGACTTGCAGCATTGTGAGCTCTGCGACCTAGGTTGGAAGCATAGTTAAGAATCACAATTTTAATAAAAACTTTCAACCTTGTTGATTGTTTTTGAACAACAAACTTAAAACTGGATAAAAGCTCTATGTCCAAAAAAATATGTCTTCATCCATAAACACTATTAAATGATAATATAAATTTGCGGCGCGCTTGCTGTCAAGTTCAAAATGATAGAGTAGTGAAAGTCAATTAAGCAAAAGAAACGTATTTTCATATGCCATGTGTATTCCTAGAGTTAACTGACAAAGACAACAATTAGGCAACACTGCAGTTTCTTTCGAAGGGGCCATCACAAAGTACGGATGGTAAAGAAATGAAAGTCCAAAAACGAAAGCACCGTGTTTCCATAAGCAATTTTCTGTCACTTAGCTAATTGTTCATAGCTGTTGGAATAAAGACGGCGGAGAGGAGTGCCTATCTCTTTTGGTACTCGAGATATTCCTTCTGCTGTGCGTGCCCCATGTTCAGGTGAATTATAATGCGCGTAGCTCAAGTAATCATTAGGTTTTCAATGATTTTCCAATTTTCTGTGCAATTTTCTTGATTTTTCTTTTCGTAAGTATTAGGATACTTTAAAAAAAAAGATGAATGAAATCGTTAAAGTCGTTCTCAAGTTATGGCGTGACCACGGGAAATAGGGATTCGTTTTTATATACATAGATGATTAAGAAAAATTATCACATGCAAATATTACTGTGACTATTTTTTCTTTTCTAGAACCTGAAGATTTCCTGGATAGTTGGTACATTTCTGACATGTACCATCCCACTAACGCTAGGCATGTCCTGTTCTTACGGTGAACGAGGATCCCTCACAGTCTATTGCACCAATGCCACCACAAGATTCTTCAAAATCACCCCATACCGTTTTGATCACCTGGACGAAACATTCAAGTGTATCAATTGCACTTTGACCACTTTAGAGCAAGGAACGTTCGACATGTCCGGCAACCAAATCAAGGTGATGGACATCTCCAACAGTTCGGTAACTTATATCTTGCCCAAGGCATTTATTGGGCTGATCTTCATGGAGAAGCTGATACTGAACAACAATCAAATACGTGATATTTCTTTAGGAGCTTTCATCGGTATCCGGAAGATTAGGGTACTTGAAATGGAGAATACCGTAGGTGAGCTGCATCCATTTGTCTTCCAGGAACTACATTTACTGGAGGAGATGAATATGAAGCACAGTAAGCTTACCACTCTTGAAGATGGGGTGTTTGAAGGATTACATAATTTGAGGATACTCGATATAAGCTATAACAAACTATCCAGTATTTCAAATCAAACTTTCACGCCTTTGGTGCACTTAGAATCGCTGAATCTGGAATATAACGAAATTAAAAAGATACACACAATTGAATTTCATACATTGAATCATTTGCTAGCTCTGAATGTACGGCATAACCACATCCAAAATGCAAGTGTGAAGTTTAGTCCACAGAGTAGCCTGAGAAGCCTCAATTTAGCTGAAAATGAACTTCATCTCAACACGGATAGATCTGATCACATAGGAGACTTACCAAACTTAGAAGAGCTTGACCTTAGTGCGAACACCATAGAGAAGACACCTATTGGATTCCTTCGAGGGTTATTCCGTCTCAGAGTCTTAAATTTGAGCTTCAACAAGATTGAGCATTTCACTGTTGGAGCTTACACAGGTCTTCCACACCTAAGGGTATTGAATCTATCAAACAATGCACTTACACAGATGAAAGTTATAGGAAGACTTCAACTGCACAGTTTGGATAGACTGGATCTGGCAAATAACAATCTCAAAGAATTCAATTACATCGGGCTGATAATAAGAGCGCCAAAACTGAGCTACCTGAACCTCTACAACAATGATATAGAGTGTCATATACTGTATCAATTGGAAGTTGCATTTTCAGAAGATAACGTAAACTTCGTTGTTGGCGGTAAAAATGCCAATGGATGTTCAGGAAATATCACCAATGAAGATTTGGATGAAGTTATCAGAAAACTAGCTGAGGAATACTACATCACAACCAGCTCTACTGCTAGTATACTATTCTTCTCGTGCTTACTCTTGTTACTTGTTGGTGTCTTGTTTTATATACAGTTCTTTGTACTGGACACCGATCCAAGAGTTGTATTTAGAAGGAGTCATGGGCAAACTACGCAACAAGATATTAGTTAATGTTGTAAAGTAAGAATTAGAAAGTTAATTTTCTTGTGATAAAGTTTTCTGTGTAATGTAAATATAACGATGAGTAAGCAATAAAATATGTCTTGTTCAAGTATCTGCTAAAAAAGGTGTTAAAATTATATTCTTCTCTCCCTACCTCTCGGTAAAAAGGTACCTACAGTTATTGTTATGTTAGCTTACAATCAAGTAATGAGGACTGCACTGCTATACTGGGTTTTAAGAACTAATGTATTTTATCTGCATATTCAATTACGACTATGATGACTTTGATTTTGTGCATATTGATGCAAACACTCCTAAATATTAATCTCTAATAGCTGTTAATGAAGTACTCTGATTTCTACCCTAGATTCATATCATATAAGCACGTAGTTTTAGACACAAAAGACATGTAATTGTGGAAGAATGCAGCTGGATAACAATGACGAATCGTCATTTGCACCGATTCGCTTGATTTTCGAGTACATCCTAAAATTGACCCTTAGTATCTCTGAAAGAAATTTATTGTTAATAGTTCGTTACAAAATAATGAAAAAAGTTAGTGTAACATATTGTTTTTGCATGCCTATATCACTACAACGTTACATGAGATTTTGAGTTTTTAAATAAGCTCTGTAGTAGAGGATTTGACGTCAACGTCAGCGGATCATAAAAGATCTTCCACCTACCTGGCAACAAGCAGTTCTATTGGTTTCATCTTTTATTTTTAAAGTGAGCGCAGTGAACACTTTTACTTTTAAATATGTTTCGTATCATAATGCGTTTTATCACTCATTTGAAATAGAAAGTGTGATAGTATACAAAAATGAAGTATAAATGGATAGCGTAAGCGGAATCTGTCAGAGTGACACGGTCAACCCCCAAAATTGAGCCCTATCCTTGCATGTCTCGCATAAATAGACCAAAAAGGTACAATATGGTATTAAGTTACATTTTCTACATTCTCATATTGACTTCTTCACTGAGAATACACAAATGAGCAACAAGGTAAGCGTATTCACCAAGGTATTAAGGTTATCGAGGGTAGATACCAAGAAAGATGGGATACAAACATAATAGTTGACTACTGTCGGATGTTGAAAAGAGGTGAACCAGGGGAAAAACATAAAAGGAGAGTATCGAGCAGTTGTTTAGAAGGAAGTAAAAAAGACACCATGACGTTTTTGATTTAATCAGTCTCTTAAGGACTATTTTTAACTACTACTGTTGGTTTTTTCAGTAAAAAGTCAATTATACATTTATTAATTATTGCTGTTTCATGAAAATTGTTAATTAATTGTAAGATATCAATAAATATATATTTCGACATGATATGAAAATAAAAAAACTGTTTTTTAATTTAATCGACATAACTATATATTAGAAAAAATAGCATTACCACTGGAAGAAGGAAGAAAAAGTTAAATTTAACAGGGCTGTGTAGCCTATCGATTCCCGACCTGGGGTCGGACGGATGGCCTTGTAGGATTTCGGGAGAGGAATGAATGTTGTTGACATGGTCGGCAATTCTGGCATTTCGGTGCCGTCCACGGCTTTGTTTGTTCGTGTCTTCGGAATGGAGAGAAAACGGATTAACC